TACACTGCTAAATTAGGGACGGCTAGCGCAGATAGCCCTCGTATAGCTTCGCGCGAAATTAAAAAACAAACAAACAAGCACAGTTTCAAAGCACGTGCGAAAATAATACAAAGTACTCTGGATGGTTTTGTTAACGTGTGCAAATGTTTCTTAGCTATCGCAGATATATGTTTCCTGCAATGTAGGATTAGCAACTGAAAGTTTTGTATATTTTTGCGCATGTATGCACATCAGAAAAGCGTACTTGTTAATAAAGGATGTTAAATTTTCCAGCAGGGGACATTCTAGCATTTTTTGTTTTTCAAAAAGTCCAGCAGAAATAAGGTATAACATTAAGAAACCCCGTATAGCCATAATGTCCTCGAATGTGCCTTATCACATCCGTGTTTTAGTGCTGAGATTTGATATTTTGTCGTTAGCTAAATAAATTATAAAAAAGTATTCTCTAGTAAATACCTTAGTCACTGGTTTAGTAAAAGAAACAGATTGATGTATAAAATTAGAATGCATATCTTTGCGTAAAATCTCAGAATGTGAGTTACAGTGTGTTCAATGCTGTTGCTTAACGATTGACTCTTGGTAAGCACAATTCTTGCCCAACTTGGGGTAACTGTATACCTTATAATCTAACACCGGTTAAGCCTTTTTGGTATGAGAAGAAGTAGTATCTCTAATATTCTGATAATTAAATACCGCTTGAAAATAATACTTCACTGTACCTTCAAATGAAGCCTCGTGTACTACACCCCAAAGTTAATCGGTTTTCCTTTGTTTGGACTTAGTTTTCTGGTAAACATATACTGTTTCGAATGACTTGGTTTCCATTAATAAAAATCCTTACACATACTATTTTGAAGCAACTTTGTATTTCCTTAACAAAGTAAGACACTATAACATATTTCCGAAAATCGAAACGTGATATGATAGCATGAAATCGCCCAGAGAGACGACAATAGACTCGGTACTATAGGCATTAACCTTACGTGAAATCTCAGTATTTGAGTTGCAGCGTGACAGACTATATTATTTATTTATATCCAACAAATATTCATGCTGCTGAAGAATTTATAGCATATTTCTAAATTCATTAGCTAAAACATTAATGAATCAAATGTTAAACGTTGTTTACCCGGACATGCGTTAAATTAAATTAAGCAGTTAACTTTGGATTCTGTGAAATGATGAGTTGCCACCCAGAATGACTGTACAGCTTGTAAAATATTGTACACCTACATTTATCAAGATTACAGACTTTGAAAATACACATGGTTCTGGTCCTACTGATAAACATGCACGTGTATGCGTGGAAGGTATTAAGTCTGTTTATTGTAGAATATCCAACACGCTCACAGGAGATAATCGAATTTTGGAACTTAGCCAGGAGGTATTAAAAAGAAAACAAGTTTCTGTCCAATCTGCTGAATAGGAGTAATTTGTTGTCGAGGAATAATTAATAATTGTGCTAATATGTCGTTGCACCTCTAGTTCTCCTGCAACATAATATCTTAGAGGCCCCTTTATGAACTCTCCTCGTCAAATAAATATATCTATAAAATCCCATTTTGATCTTCGCAGTAGTTTTGTTTTTCAAGAGCAGGAGAACGCGAGTTTGGAAATTATCAATCCATTACATTTGTAAAACGTAATATTAACCAATCCCATACTATTAAGTTTGTAATTTACATACACATATAAAACAACGAAGAAATTTTCTCGCTAATAATGGAACTATAGGCAAAAAATGAGAGTTTACAACGAAGTAATTCATGTCGTGTTCAGTGCCATTCCTTTTTTTTTATTTTATTATCAGAAAAATGGAAAATAGTTCTTGATTTAACACCTGCAGTTTAGGTTCCGAGTTCAAAGGTGGTCGCTTGTTTACTTCTAGGTGTGAAAAACTTCAGTATGTGTTCACATCAGAGTGAAAAACCGGTACATTTTTTTCTCACACGGTGTGACACTGTAACAGCCTTAAAACAGTTTAAATTACAGTAATACACGTCGTGCATTTGCTATCTGACGTTTATTGCATCGTGTTTTAAAAGGACGGCAAACAAAACTTGTTAAAAGCTTATACATTTAAAAAATGATTATAAATAAAACAAAATCGTGTCTAAGTTGTTTTGAACCTACTCAAAAGAAATGGTGCTTCTTCGTTTTCTTTCTTGCACTGCTGGGCAAGTTCCCATATCTCAATTCCTGTAGCTGTCTAATAACAGGTTAAGGTAAGAAAATGTAGAAGAAATGCAGGGATTACTGTATCGTGTGATTTGTATTCTTAAGGTGATTTTCCAAGAATTTAAAAGAACCGTGTATAATGACAAACGGTACATGTTAAACTCGCACTGGAACATACAAACTGGGACTATCTAATTATTTTACTGTTTCTGATCGGGGCAAAATTTCAGAGCTAAAAACTTGGACGTCCGGTAACCCTTGATAAACATCGTATCAACTACAAATGTTATTTTTTTCACACATTCCTCTTAATTTGTCCATTGTGGATTCGTATTTCAGGCGTTAAAAATAGCATTTCAGAAAAAGATAGTTCTTCTATGGATGAAATTTGGGTAATATTTATCACAAATTTTAAACCACATAAATAAGCTTGGTAGTTAGTTTTCCAAAGGTTAAGTCTTGCATTATTTCAATGGAAGAATTAATTAAATCAGTACCGAGTAGTATCCAAATCAGTAAAATATTTACCCGAGCCAATCACTCAGATGGCAATTTTCTTGGGAAAGGATTACTTGTAATGAAATCTGTAAAATGTCATAGAAATCTAAAATGGGATGGTAAATCGTAACATTTGATTTTAATTATTATCACGCCTAAAAACAGGAGTAGCCCTGAATACGTCAGACAAATTCATAATACTTACATAATATTATTCGAAACTAATAAGTTTCTCAAGACAAATTTGTCAATATACCCACTGTAGAGCAAGTTTTGGAAAGGACAACCTTGGTGAACCTGGTGTTATTTCAATGTTTTCTTTTGTTCTTTGTCTATAAATATTATAAATAAATAAATATGACATTGAAAGTGTTAGAAATACTGTGTGTAAACGTCAAAAAATAAAATATGTTTACATCAATGTAATCAACCTTAAATCAAATGTACTGCTATACACAAAGTACATATAGAGTTTTACAATACATAACCATTTACTTAGGGAGTCATTTTTCAAAATATGAAAAAATCATGTGTAGCCCTAAATATAGAGAGTGAATGACCAGGACATTCAATATGTTTCTTTTTTTTATTATTATTATTTAGCATGCTACACTTGGAAGTTATAATAGTTGACTTATACCACAACTGTTATAACTCATAGTGATCATACTTGCGTTTTAACTTGACCTTGTTTACGACAGCAGGCAGTCATGTGACTGATTTCGTTTTGCGTCAGTCGGTTTGCAAAACTACATAGAGAAAATTTTCCATTAGAGTACCAAAGAGGTTCTAAGTTTGTCGTCAACATGGACGCTGTATTGATGTGGTTTATCTGTGTTTGTACATTACTATTTGCGGTCTTTTCGTTCAGGTGGTTTTATGTTGATGCTGATGGAGATCTAACACTCTTGTGGGCTGAAAGATATGGAAGGTCACCAGGTAAGGTGTAAATAACGTTTTCAGATGGTGCAATGAAGTAGTTGGAATTACGGTGTTACTCTTACTATATAATCACACAGAATTAGAAAGTCGCCAGGTAAGGTGTTAACGTTTTCAAATTGTGCTTAATTAACGGTGTTATGAAGTCCTTATAGGTGTGTGATTACTTTTGCTATATAATTGCACAGAATTAGAAGGTCGTCATGTAAGTCGTTAACGTTTATAAACTGTGCTTAAGCAGTAAGTAATAGTGTAATGAAGTCCTTGGAATTGTGTAGTTACTTTCACTATGTAATTGCAGAGATAAAGAAAATGACAAATATGGTAAGGAAACCAGAAAAATCGTAAATTATTTGATACGTTCATTTTTAAAGATTTTGTACTATGCAGACCTAATTTTTCTAATTCACAATAATGATGTTGATTATAATAATTCTAACATTGATTTTCGTAATAGAAGGTACGTTATATAACAATATAGTTTCACAAGATCAGAGATAGAACAAAAAAAAGGCACATGACAACAAAGGCCAAAATACACATGAGCAATTTCAACCGAACACTAGATCTGTTTGACCTTGCGCTTAGCCTTCAAGGTCGGCCCAGTCATATTTGGTAACCTGACAGTCGATTGGCAACATTCAGTCGGAGCAGTTCACCGGTGATGAAACAAAATCTGACTCCTAACGTTAGTAAATCGAAATATATAGAGACGATTTTCATTGTATAGTCTTTTATTGTATGGTATTTTATTGTATAGTCTTTTATTGTATGGTATTTTATTTTATTGTATGGTACTTTATTGTATGGTATTTTATTGTATAGTCTTTTATTGTATGGTATTTTATTTTATTGTATGGTACTTTATTGTATGGTATTTTATTGTATAGTCTTTTATTGTATGGTACTTTATTGTAAGGTATTTTATTGTATAGTCTTTGATTGTATACTATTTTATTGTGTAGTATCTTATTGTATAGTATTTTATTCTATAGTATTTTTACTATAGTTTCATGCACCTTTTTAAACATTGTTAGCTGTTTTTAAAAGTCCTGAGACTTTTGGTTATGTAATGACGTAACTTATAAAAAAGTCCTCCGTTTTAATTCAGTGTAAACACACAATGAGAAATTTCGTTGCTGTGAGAAATGTTTAGTGTCAAACTATTAATATATATGTTAAGTGATTGTACTGTAATGAAATAATTACTAATTTACCACGTCTCTTTGTATCAAACTGCTATATTGTTGTGTAACAAACCAGTTACAAATAGTATTTATTTAAAATTTCAGGAAGGTGTAGTCATTAATTTTCACACAAGGCGCTAATTCGAGTAAGATTTTGTGAGAAGCAATGAGACCGAGTTTGAATTTACAGAGTAAAGTATGTATTTTATCTTATTCTTCAAAGCGAATAATTACAAAGATAGTTTAATGTTTAATTTCTCAAGGTTAATAATGTTTACAAGAATAAAGTGTGAAGATTTCGTTCTTTATTCATTTTTGTATTTCATCTTAAGTTAACATTTCTACGTGTTACTAGTATAACAAAACATATCTTCGCACTTCACGTGAATACGTTACTTAAATTCTAGTCTTTACATCTCATTAGTATACAGAAAGATAACCCATGTTAGAATTCATACGTGTTTTATGGTAGAGGGTACTGCTGGCTTGTGACTAACTTGGAGACTAGCCAACACTGCTAGCTTGGTTTATCAACAGCTTTTATATACACCTGGAAAAAAGTTAAGCACCCCCGTGTTTTTTTCAAGTGATTCAGATTCGACGTCCTTGTGACTGATTA